TCTGAAAATGCTTTAAAGTTCTCTTCAGCTTCTCTTACAAGTCTTTCTGCACACTTCTTTAATTTTCTTCAAGTAATTCTAGCATACAAGATAAGTAGAAATTTATTTTAAATGAAAATTTTGTTATTTTTCAGTTTTGTCTGGTTTCTAGTAGTGCAGCAGCATTTTTCTGACTTTATTTTATTGTAAAAAAAGCATCATCTCCATATCACAGGTTGTTAATGAGTCTTCCTCCAATCCTGATGCCGCGACCTTCTTCATATAGTCCACATTCTCCGTTTTCATCCGTTTGTTGGAACACCTTAATTCGTATTCCGTCAATTCCTGGAGCCTTGTTTTTTGCTGTTCCCTTCATTGCAGCTTGGACTTCTTCCTTTAGTACCATCTGTTCTTGATCATATGCTACGTCCTGAAACGGTTAAACAACAACCAATTCTTTCTGGTATTATTATTATTATTATATACACACACACACACACATAAACACACACATATATATAAAATTTATTATTATACTCTGTGTATTCCTTCCATCTTATTTTGATGGCTTCTTGTGTCATTTAATGCTTTCCCTGTAGAATCCTTCAAAATTGCAACTCGATGCTTGAATTTTTTCTTCAGGTCTTTCAGCTTGAGAAATGGAGCGTGTTCTTCCCTTTTGGTTTTCTAATTCCAGGTCTTTGCACATTTCATTATAATACTTTGTCTCCTCAAGCTGTCCTTTGAAATCTTCTGTTCAGCTCTTTTACTTCATTCATTTCTTCCTTTGCTTTAGCCACTCTGCATTCAGGAGCAACTTTCAGAGTCTCTTCTGACATCCACTTTGCTCTTTTCTTTCTTTTTAATGACCTCTTTGTTCATGTATGATGTCCTTGATGTTATTCCGCAACTCGTCTGGTCTTTGGTCATTAGTGTTCAATGCATCAGATCTGTTCTTGAGATCATCTCTAAATTCAGGTGGGATATACTCAGGGCCATACTTTGTCTCTCATGGACTTGGGCTAATTTTCTTCAGCTTCAACTTGAACTTGCGTATGAGCAATTGATGGTCTGTTCTGTAGTTCGCCACGGCCATGTTCTAACTCATGATATTGAGCTTCTCCATTGTCTCTTTCCACAGATGTAGTCGATTTGATTCCTGTGCATTCCATCTGGCGAGGTCCACATGTATAGTTGCCATATATGTTGTTGAAGAAAGGTATTTGCAATGAAGAAGTCGTTGGTCTTGGCAAAATTCTGTCATGTGATCTCCGGTGTCATTTCTATCACCAGAGCCGTATTTTCTAACTACTGTTCCTTCTTCGTTTCCAACTTTTGCATTCCAATCACCAGTAATTATCGATGCATCTTGATTGTATGTTTGATCAATTTCGGACTTCAGAAGTTGATAAAAATCTTCAATTTCCTCATTTTTTGCATTGCTGGTTGGTGTGTAAATTTAATAGTCATATTAACTGGTCTTCCTTGTAGGCGTATGGATATTAGCCTATCACTGACAGCAATGTGCTTCAGGATAGATCTTGAAATGTTCTTTTTGATGACAAATATGACGCAATTCCTCTTCAATTTGTCATTCCCGGCATAGTAGACCATATGATTGTCTGATTCAGAATGGCTGATACCAGTCCATTTTAGGTCACTAATGCCTCGGATATCAGTCTTTATGTGGTCCGTTTCATTTTTGATGACTTTCAATTTTCCTAGATTTATACTTCATACATTCCACGTTCTAAATTATTAATGGATGTTTGCAACTGTTTCTTCTCATTTTGAATTGTGCCTTCTCAGCAAATGAAGATTCCCAGAGCTTGATTCCATCCACATCATTAAAGTCCACTCTACTTTGAGGAGGCTGATAGTATTTTGAGTGCCTTCCAACCTAAGGGTCTCATCTTCCAGCACTGTATCAAACAGTGTTCCTCTGCTATTCATAAGATATTCACTGGTCAATTTTTTTAAACTAGGCTGTTGAGTCCTTTTTCTTAGTGTGTCTTAGTCTGCTGAAATCTCTCCACTATAAGGGTGACCCGGCTGGTATTTGAAATCCTGGTGGTGTAGCTTCCAGCATCACAGCAACATGCAAGCCACCACAGTATGACAAACTGACAGACCCGTGGACATTAACATATAGAGGTTAGGATTTACAACACATAAAATGAAGGATAAGTACATAAATATTGCAAAATGGACCATAATTACATCAGATCACAAAATGGAGGACAACTACACAATAATGGAAATCATGGCCTAGCCAAGTTGACATATGACGTTAACCATCACAAATAATTATAATTTATGAATAGTCCCTTAGCCCCTTATTAGTTATTTCATGAGAGGTCCTACGGTATAGCAAAGTTATACTTGTTTGCATCTTAAATCTTCATGTTTCCTCTTTACAGGAGGTGGTAATATATAATGAAAAGGTGAATAGAATAAAAGAGAATTGAAAGGCCTGAGTAATCCACCAGCTGAGTAATTGACCTCTGAACAATAAAAAATTGGCTGTGATTTTATGCATTACTGTAGAGCATTGTTTAGATTTAATTTTTGTTCACTACTGATTGAATTAAAGCTTGAGCTGAAATGCTCTATATCTCATTTCTAAACTCTTAACCGTTCAATCATCTCTCATCATGAACTCATGAGATTCAGACATGAAAAACTAATGAGAAGTCAAAAATCAGGGTTACAAAGAAAAAGTATGTATTTTAAATCTGCAGTCTTCTAAAAGGGAGAAAAGCAATTATAAGAGTTTCAAGAATCAGTAGAAATTGATGATGTTTTATACCATAGAAAATTAGTACCTTGAGTCCTGACTTCACACTATCACTATACAAATAAAAAGAAACCAGTAGGCTCGGGAATATAAGCTATTAAAAATTTACTTCCAGCAACTATTTTTGATGCTCAAGGCATTGTTCAGTATTCTGACTCAGAAAATTAAGTGTAAGAAACTATTATTGATTTTAAAATAATTGCCTTTTTATTGTCTATAAATGTTAGCTATGAATTTAAAAATAATTCTTTACTTGTGTGAGGTCCCTGGGTGGCATAAGTGGTTTATGCTTGATTACTAACATAAAGGTTGGTAGTTCGAACTCACTCAATGGCAGCACAGAAGAAAGGCCTGGTGATCTGCTTCTGTAAAGATTACAATCAAGAAAAGTCTACGGAGCAGTTCTGCTCTGTATTGTGTGGGGTCACCATAAGTCGGAATGAACTCATTGGCATCGGGTTTGGTTTTTAATTTTTCTTTATTTGTAAGGTTTCTTGCTGGCTAGCTACCAAAGAGGTTTTAAAGGTCCTTATCTATTAGAAAGATCTGTAGTCCTATGTTAAATAATTAATAACAGACTTTCTTAGACCACATTTGACCCATTTCTCATATCTTTGGTAATTTCTTAGCTCTAACAGTAGGAGATGTAATCAAAAGGTTTTGAAATGAGAACTGAGTATAAGTACAGGGGATTGTACTTCAGCCAGTGAAGACAATAGTTAAGTAGGGGACTTGGAAACTGAGCATGAGAAATTTGAACTCGAGACTTGTTTTGGAGTGTTAAAACTGAATTAGTGAGATTTTGTAGATCTCACATAGGGGTAAAATTCATTAAAACAGTGTTTTCTTGGTTTTATAATTCAATCCCTACGATAAATAATTCTGTACAACAAATTATTTCCCTTGATAGTGTTTATGTCACAGATACTTTTTATTCTACAGAATGTAGATCATTGTATAGTGATTGGGAGGTGAAGAGGGAGTGACAGACTATAACTGAATTCATAATAGCTCTTTTTTCATGCCATGAAACAAATTTTCCTTTACCTCTTTGCATTTCAAACATCTTCTCTGAAAAACAAAAACAAACAAAAATTCCAAACCAAGAAAACGACATTTATATGGGAAGACTAAGGAGCCAGGATGAGCAAAGGAGAGATCTTGGCATTAAATAATAGAGTTAAAATACGTTTAAAGAGAAAACAGTAGAAATAATGAATTTATCTAAGGACACTGTTACAGACTGAATTGTGTTCCCCTCCCCCCCGAAAACTGTGTTGAAGTCCTAACCTCTGTACTTGTAAATATCCTGTTTGGAAACAGGTTTTCCTTTTTATGTTAATGAGGTGATACTGAAGTAGGGTGGGTCCTAAACCTAAACCTAATCCCTTCTGAGTGATGTCTTATAAAAAGAGCAGAATAGACACATGGGGGGAAGGCTGATGCATCTACAAGCCCAGGAATGCCAGGGATTGCTGGGAGTTGCTAGAAGCTGAAAGAGACAAACAAGGACCTTCCCTTAGAGCCTACACCCTGAATTCTGACTTCTAGCCTCCTGAACTGTAATACAATCAATTTCTATTTTTTAAAGCCACCCACTTTGTGGTATTTTTTCTGTGGCAGCATTAGGTAATAAGACAAACATCATTCCTCTGTGCTACCCATGGAATATCACTTTGTATCAGTGAAGCTGGAGCCCTGGTGGTGCAGTGGTTTAAGAGCTTGGCTGCTAACCAAAAAGTGGACAGTTTGAATCCGCCAGCTGTTGCTCCTTGGAAATCCTATAGGGCAGTTCTACCCTGTACTATAGGGTTGCTATGAGTCGGAATCGACTCAATGGCAAGGGATTTTGGTTTGGTATCAGTGAAGCTGCTCCTCAGCTTAGTTTCATTTTACTTAAGTCAAGAGTTTCTTAAAATCATAGAATTTTAAAACAAGGAAGGGCTGTACAGATCATCTGTATATCTCTCTCATTTTTACATTTCTAGCAGTTTATTCATTGTAATCCTGTCGTTAGCCCTAACTTTTCTTTGGGACCTCAGTACCTGACATAGAGCTTAGAAGGTATTCTATAAATATTTGGTAAATTAAGTTAAAGAATTTAATGTGCATTAATATTAGTAAGTCAAAATATCATTAACAAGGTCTGATAGTTCTTAGTAATCCTAGCAATTACTTACTCGAGTTACTTTTTTTTTTTTTTAACGTTTTTTTCTCTAACCAGGTTTGCATCTGCTGGCGATGATGGAATTGTAATTGTGTGGAATGCCCAGGTGTGTATTGATTCTCAGTGAATTGTTTAATAAGGACATGACTCTATAGTTGAGTATTCATTCATAAACACTAACCAGGAGATGTATCTGTATACTTGTATCCTTACTTGAAGCTAATTAATACTCAGAAGGGGCTACTTAGGGTGAATCCACTTAAAATAAGGACTAATATTTCATAACAAAGAGTGAAATTTTTTAATTAGTATTTTGTTCTGAGAAACAAAAAGCCAAATTATGAAAATAAAAATTTTATTCTTATTGAACAAACTTTAGATTTTCAGCAACCTTGTACTGATTGATAAAATAAGTGAAATGTTGATTTTATAGGGGGCATAATTTTTTTTCAGAATTTTATGATATCACAATAAAGCAGTCTTCTCATGTTTGATATAAGTACCAGCATAATAAAAGTCTTATTTTAGCAAAAATATTTAAAGCTTCACCAAATTTCTCCAGGGTCTCTATTCCTGATCCTTTCGTTTCTAAATTATTCTCTTTGAAGCATTTATTTTCCTTTCATCTTTATTCTGGATTGTATTATCTGTCAGTGACTCTGCTTAAAAGCAGTTCTGTAACATTACTTTCATCATGTTCATGAAATCCTGCAACCTTTGAAAGATTTCCAGTTTATATTATATTTTTGTATGTTTACTACCTGGAACAAGTAACGAGAGACTGATGGATTAAGACATTGGACGGGTGGAAATAGTTGTTAGTGTTAAGTAGAGAGAAATGGTGTAGAGAGTGATTTTATGAATGGTTTGTATGTTCATGGATTTACGTTTTTGTTATATTGACGTTTATTTCCTTCTGCCACCTCATAATTGTGGTGACTTAGATAATGAATGTTTAGATAATGATGACTCCCTACTTTTTTCCTACAGGTTAAGTTACTGATGTTTTTATGCTTAATTTGCATAATTGGAGCCCTGGTGGTACAGTGATTAAGAGCTAGGCTGTTAACCACAAGTCAGTTCAAATCCATCAGCTGCTCCTTGGAAACGCTATGGGGCGGTGCTACTCTGTCCTATAGGGTCGCTATGAGTCGGAATCGACTTGACAGCAGTAGGTTTGGTTTTTTGGTTGACATAATTACCTTCTTAAAACCATGTGTAAATAATATTCCTTTAAATTTTCTAAAAAATTAACAGTTTATATTACAAAATAAAGTTTTGTACAGTTATTATTTCAGCACTTGTTTAGATTTTATTTGGTTGCTTAAAAGTTAAATTGTAAGTCCTGAATAAGTAATTTTAAATGGAATGCATGTATTTTCTGCATTGTGATTCTTAATGTTGTCATTTAAGGTTATTTAAGTTGTGAATATGAGCCTGTTAACATTTTTATTTTATATTGATATTTCAGACAGGAGAAAAACTTCTGGAACTCAGTGGACATACTCAAAAGATAACTGCTATCATTGCATTTCCTTCCTTGGAATCTTGTGAAGAAAAAAATCAAGTGATCTTGACAGCCTCTGCTGATAGAACAGTTATTATATCCTTAAATCTGGAAGAAAGTGAAATAGCTGTAGTGACCCAAGGGGCCACTACATATGTTATTAATCTTTAGCCTCTTGAGGCCTGTCTGTACATCCTTCATAAGACACTTTTTAAAAGTATTAGGCACCTGGGGAAGGATAGATTGGAAATAGCAGGTTAAGGCTTATTGATAGGAACCTCATGAATAACATTTTTTCCGGAGTTACTATTACATCGGGTTGTATAAAATGGAAGAAATGAGAGAAGGTGAGCTTGAAAATACTTATTATCTTAATAAAATGCTTTTTATTTCAGGGAAACAAAGATGAGTTGGACTGAAGAATAATTCATATTTTTTTCTTCTCATTGTAGAACAAAAGAAACTTAATGGTACCAACCCATAAGAGCTTTCAGCATCCAGATCTGGTAGAAAAGTGAATTACCATCTGCTCAGTGTTTAATATTAATATTCAGTATTTAAAAGCAATTTTTAAAAAGTGAATTACCTTTCTTTCCCCCATATTTTTAAGTAAAAAATTCAAATATAATAATAATACCAAGGTCTTATAAAGTGCCATATGTACCAGGCATTGTCCTAAGTGTGTTTGATAGCTATTAACCCATTTAATCCTTAAAATAGCCCTTTGCAATAGGTATTTTTATTTTGCTCATTTATAGATGAGAAGTTAAGTAACTTGAGAGGTTAAGTAACTTTCCTAATGTCACACAGCCAGTATAAGGCAGAACGAACTGGCAAGTAGTCTGAGTGCAGAATCAAGAGCTCTGAACCACTATATAATACTGCCTTCATAAAATATTTATTGTAAACAAATTCAACCTTTAATGTCTAAAGAACTGAATTTGTGAAGTCCACAGCCAACTACTATGGATAACTGTAATCTTTTATTATTTTCTTTTTTTAAAAAGATATTAAAGATGAACTTTAAAATGTCTGTGCTTGTCTGGACGTTCTGTTTAAATAGTTTCAAGCACTAGTGAAGTTAGTTTTAGAGTTAGCCCAGGAGTAGATGGTTTCATAGGGTTTTGTAGGACCAAGACACTTCATGACACACTTTACATGAGTTGATCAGCTGAAGTGCTTTCTAGACAGATTGCCTATATGTGAAAAAGATTCAAGAAAGATTTAAGTGGAAATAAACAATTTTTATATTTTGTGGTGATTATAACATAAACAAGGATATAAAATTCACTCAGATATTTAAGTCAGTAGTTTAGGTCAGAGAGCTACTGCTCTATTGAGGCGGGTATCTTTTTCATGGACTAAAGCTCTTTTTCAGTGTAAGTATAATCTCTGTAAAAGTAGAATTTAAAATACTTTTATTAGCCCATTTCTAAGAAATGATAGTAAATAATATTTAGAGGTGATTATTAAAGTTACAAGGAACCCTGGTGATGCAGTGGTCAGAGCACTCCGCTGCTAACCCAAAGGTCTGCAGTTTGAATCCACCAGCCACTCCACCGGACAAAGACGTGGCAGTCTGACTTTGTAAAGATTACAGCCTTAGAAACCTTATGGGGCAGTTCTGCTCTGTCCTGGAGGCTCCATCTGAGTCGGAGTCAACTGGATGACAGTGGGTTTATTAAAGTTACTATTATAGTACAGGGAGCCTTGGTGGTGCAGTGGTTAAGAGCTCAGCTGCTAACTAAAAAGTTGGCGGTTTGAATCCACCAGCCGCTTCTTGGAAACCCTGTGAGTCGAAATTGACTGGACAGCAACAGGTACTATAGTACAGAGGTGAGTAACTGGGACCAAAAACGAAAACCCCCATTTCCGTTGAGTCGATTCCAACTCATAGTGGCCCAATAGGACAGAGTAGAACTGCCCCATAGGGTTACCAAAGCTGTAATCTTCACAAGAGCAGACTGCTACATCTTTCTTCTTCTGAGCAGCTGGTAGGTTTGAATCACCAGCCTTTGGGTGAGCACGACCACTTAAGCACTACGCGTCTAGGCTCCTTGCTGGGACAGTATCAGTATAAATTTTATACTTATCCCATTTTTGTAAATGATAGTTTAGAGTCATTTCCTTTGCTGCATGACTTTTCTAGTTTAAAAAAAAAAAAAAAATTCCAGGCTGCTTAGTTGACAGTTCTTTTTAACCAAATGAATTCTCAATTTACCCTGCTTGAGTCTTCACTATTAGCTAACTTCCTTAATTAAATGCTGAAGTTTGATTTTTAATTTTTGTCAAGTGATTGCCTTAAGAGCCCAGGTTACCAAGTATCAAACATTCAGCTTTCAAATAGATTAATTAGTGGAAAGGCTATGAGATAATACTAAAATTTTGGTAAATTTAAGGCCAGAAAATATTGTTCCAATAACTGGGAACACTTTTTCTGTGTCAGCAGTTTGGTATATTACATATATCATCTAATACTTGTAACAATCTAATTGCATTTTAAAAATAAAGTATAACATAATGGAAAATAGCAGAAGACATTGGATGAAGTAAGGTTAAATAGATTGTAAAATTAAGCTTCAATTTTCAATGTATAAATGTGTTCTGAGACATGATGTAAAATGTACTTTGCCATAGAAAATGGTGTAAAAAGTTTGAAAATCATTATGCTTCTTAAGTCAGACTAACCTTAGACATTTTATGGGAGGTCCTTAAATAAGGATACAGGTAATAGTTATACACTATTACTTTCTTTTTTAAAGTGGGATAACAGTAGTAAATCATGCCAGGCAGTTTGTGGAGATAATATATCTTTAATACTCAGCAAATATTAACAGATGTGATAGTTTTTAGTATAAATACTTCATGCACAATGTTTATTAGAGTATGGAAGACCATTTTGAACAATAAACCTTAATATTTAAACAGTTGCAATATTTAATGCATAGACAGACTTAGCACCTAAGACCACTCATTCTGTTGGCATTTTCAAAATAGTTTGATAGTAAAATTTACCTCAAACTTATTTTAGTTGATAAGTGTGCTCTGATAAGTTGATGACTCATCATATAATTAATTTTTGTAGTAGTATAAAGGTTACATATTTTATACTTTAAAGATTTTTCTAACTAAATGTGTAACATTTGTCATTTATTTTTTGTTAGAAGAGTTATCTCCTAATTAAGATTTAAAAATTCTGTTTAGAAATTATTTCTTAACATAAATTCAGGTATGGGATTGTGATACTGGCAGACAAGTTCAGAGAGTGTCATGCTTCCAGTCTACTGTAAAGGTAAAATCTTACGCAGATGAGCTTCTATGGTAATAATCTGTTTTTGTCTCAGAAAAATTGATTAATAAGTTAAATGGAATTACCTTTGTAGGTTATAAAAATTATTTCTGTTACTCATACTTACAGTTATTTGATTCTTCCAAGACGAAGTTTTCGGGACTATATATAGTAAGTGCTAGAATGTAGAATGTTTGAAATTACAGCAAGGGGCAAGTCCCTATAACAAGCTAAGGGAAAAGTTAGTACTTGGGTTTTGCTGTAATGCTAATTATCTAGGCAATTGTATTTATTTACTTCTGCTATAATCCTGTTTCACATAAAAATTGATAAAAATAATATCGCACTCACTTTCATACTTAATACTCAGTGGTTCTTGAGCAGATAATTTATCAAAGAAATTCGATCACTAATAAATACAGGAAATAATGTTATTTCTTTTTCAAACTAGTAAAGGTTTTTATAAGGTTTTGTGTTAGCAAGGAAATGGTGAAATTGACATATTTTTGCTGTTGAGAGTATAAACTGATATGATTATCCTGGAAGGCAAATTGGCATTATGTATGAATTTAAAAAAATGATCATATGTATTGGCTCAGTGATTCTACTTCTAGAAAACTCTTTTAAAGGAAATAATCAAACTTTTGCAGAGATTTATGAACAGAACTGTATATTGTAAATATATTTTTATAATGAATAATTGGCAGTATCCAAAATGTCTTATAATAGTTAAATTTTGGGTGTGTGTGTGTGTATATTATAGTTCATATATATACGTATATACACCATAGTCTATACACACACACACAAACTATAGTTTATATATACATATATATATACCATAGTGTTTGTGTATGTGTATATATGTACATATATGCTAAAAATGATATTTTAGAAGACTATAGAGAGAGTTTAGAAAATGCTAAGAATAAAGTGTTAAGAAACAAAAGCAATATATTTTCCTCAACAAAATACTAGCAAACCAAATCCAGCAATATAAAGAAAGATTATACACTGTGATCAAGTGAGACTTATCCCAGGAATGCAGTCTTGGTTTAACATCTGAAAATCAATCAATGTAATAACCATATTAATAGAATGAAGGACCAAAATCAAATGATCATCTCAATAAATACAGAAAAAGCACCTGACAAACTTCAACACCCTTTCATTATAAAAAAATTCAACAAACTAGGAATAGATGAGAATTTCCTCTACATGATAAAGAACATCTATGAAAACCCCATAACCAGCAGCATATTTAATGGTGAAAGACTGACTGAATACTTTCTTAGTAAAATCAGGAACAAGGCAAGGATGTCCGCTTTTGGCACTTCTATCATCATTGTATTGGAGGTTGTAGCCATGGCAGTTAGGCAAGAAAAAGAAATAGAAGGCAACCAAATTGGAAAGGAAGAAGTAAAACTATCTCTCTTTGTAGATAACATGATCTTGTATATAGAAAATCTTAAAGTCTACAACAAAATATTAGAACTAATGAATTTAGCAAGGTTTCAGGATGCAAGATCAATATACAAAAATCAGTTGTATTTCTGTATACTAGCAGTGAATGTTCCAAAAATGAAATTAAGGAAACAGTTCCATTTTGTAAATAGCATTCAAACCAATAAAATACTAGGAATAAATTTAAAGAAGTGTAAGACTTGTACACTGAAAATTATAAAACACTGTTGGAAGAAATGAAAGAAAGTCTAAATAAATGGAAAGAGAATCCCATGTTCTTGAATCAGAAGATTTAATATTGTTAAAATTGTAATGCTACCTAAATTGGTCTACAGATGGAATGCAGTCCCTGTCAAAATCCCAGCTGGCTTTTTTTGCAGAAATTGACAAGTTGATCCTAAAATTCAGATGGAACTGCAAGGGACTCAGAATAGCTAAAACAATCTTTAAAAGGAAGAATAAAGTTGGAAGATTCACACTTCGTGATTTCAGAATTTACTACAAAGCTATAGTAATCAAGGCAGTGTTGTACTGGCATAAGAGTAAACTTAGCAGATCAGTAGAATGGAATTGAAAGTCCAGAAATAGACTCTAACATTTATGGCCAGTTGGTTTTCGGCAAAGGTGCCGAGTCCATTGAGTGGGGAAAGAAGTCTCTTCAACAAATGGTGCTGTGGCACAACTGAATCTCTACGTGCAAAAGAATGAAATTTGACCCCTACTTCATGCCATATACAATAATTAACTCAAAATGGATCAAAGACCTAAATATAAGAGTCAAAACTATAAAGCTCTTAGAAGAAAATATGGTAGTAAATCTTTGTGACTTTGAGTTGGGTATCTTAGGTATGACAACAAAAGCATAAGAGCAAAATAAATCGGACTTTGTCAAAATTAAAAACTTTTGTGCTTCAAAAGACATCAAGGAAGTGAAAAGATAACCCACAGAATGTGAGAAAATGTTTGTAAATGATATATCTGATAAGGGACTTGTATCAAAAGTACATAAAGAACTCTTACAACTAAACAATAAAAAGACAACCCAATTAAAAATAGACAAAGGTCTTGAATAAACATTTCTCCAAAGAAGATACACAAATGGCCAATAAGCACATAAAAATTATTCAGTATTATTAGCCACCAGGGAAATGCAAGTCAAACTACATTAAGATACTATTTCCACACATAATAAAATGGCTGAACTCTAAAAGACAGACCATGACAAGTGTTGATGAGGGTATGGAGAAATTGGAACCTCATACATACATTGCTGGTAGGATTGTGAAATGATGCAGCTGCTTTGGAAAATAGCAATTCCTCAAAATGTTAAACGTAGAGTTACCACATAACACAGCAGTCCCACACTTAGGTATATACATGAGAAAAATGAAAACGTACATCAACACAAAAAGGTTACATGAGTGTTCCTAGCAGTATTATTCATAATAGCCAAAAAGTGGAAACAATTTAAATGTTCTTCAACTGATGAATGGATAAACAAAATGTGGTATGTCCATACAGTGGAATTTAATTCGACAATTAAAAACAAATGAAGTACTGATACTAAAAAATCAGTAATTGGGCACAGTAGGACCTCTTGAAATATAAACTGCAATGATGATTTTCAGCACTTTTTATTCCAGCGGTTTGTAAAGCACCACCACTCTCAGCTCAGGCAAGACTAGTAGAACCCCTTTCTTTTTATTAAAAAATTAAAAATTTTTTCCTCTTGCTATGCCCTTGCTCAGAGTTGATGGGTGGGGAGAGTACTATTAAAGGTCTGAACTTTAAAGTACTATTAAAGGTAAAGGATTTCTACAGTCCTTGGAACACTCACTTTCCTGAATCTACCAAACATATAGAATTATTGAGAAAATCAGGAGATATTAATTTGAAGGATACATCATATTTTTAAGTTTTGTCTAAAAAGGAATTTGTTTTTTAAGTTATTGTGTGTTATCTATTATTGAGTAATAAATTACCTGAAAACTTAACTGGCTTAAAACAATAAACATTTATTATCTCACAGTGTTTGTGGTCAGGAATCCAAGAGTGGCTTAGCTGGGTGGTTCTGGCTCTGGGTCTCTCCATCAGGTTGCTGCCTTCTGAAGGGGGACTGGAGGATCTGCTTTCTAGGAGGCTCACTTATATGCTTGGCAAGTTAGTGTTGATTGTTGTTTGGACCTCTTTCCATAGGACTGTTATAAGCGTTTCACCGTAGAGTGAATGATCTAAGAGAGTGTAAGGAGGAAACCATGTGTCTTTTATGACCTAGTCTTGGAAGTCATACATTATCACTTCTGCCACATTCTATTTATTAGATGTTAGTCATTTAGTAGAGTCCATATTCAGGTCCTCTTAAAGGAAAGAGTATCAAAGAATTTGTGGACGTATTTTAAAATCACCAAAATAATAAGTGAATGCCTCTGTTTTTAAACTGATACACATTTTAAATCAATTTTGCAGTGTTTAACTGTTCTTCAGAGACTAGATGTTTGTCTGTCTGGTGGGAATGACCTGTGTGTGTGGAACCGAGAATTAGATCTCCTGTGTAAGACTAGTCACCTTTCTGATACAGGTAAAAACCAAATCCAGGTAATTGTGAACCATAATTCACTCAGAAAGACATGAGTCTTCAAAGAGACTTTCTATGAATATGCAGGTCAATAAAGGAGAGTTATCTTTTCTGTTCTGAAGATAACATGTAGTCAGATGTCTTCAATTCAGTTTAAGGGTTGTATAAAATATGTACTATCCCAAATTGGGAGGAGAGACTCCCCTTCTTTTGGCTTCCCCTTCCCTTCTACCAGAATTTCTTAAAAGTGATCAAGAAAAACATTTTCATGTATGTTGTTGGGCCGTATTCCTGAGCTTGATGAACCTATAGACACCTGGAAGCAGACCTTTATGACTTCACAATACCATTTTCCTCCTTGCAGAGTCATTACACTTGAAAAGATTCCTTAAGGATACCTTCATTTACAATTGGTTTTACTAAAAAGTTCATATATGTGCAGACTTACTGACAAAATTGTATTTTCTCAGAATTCTGTTGACATACGTTTTTGGCTTTAACAGAGAAACATCGGTTTTGACTTCTAGATATCAAGGATCTTAAAAATAAAATTGAAATCTATTTTGAGAGTAAACATGGTTAAATATGAATGAGTACATTTAAATGGCAGTAACCTTGATTTTATGTTATACATTATTAACTTTTTGTTTCTAAAAGTAATCAAATGGCCTGCAGACATCCTAGAAAGAATATTATGCATATTGTTGACATGTTGAAAGTATCAGGAGCTGTGTGAATTGAATTTATAGTTCACAGAACTAGCTTATTTCCACATTGATACTATAAAATATCAGAAGTTAATGACATGTTAGAAAAAATCCATACAATCCTAGGATTTACGATTTTAACTGCTCAATTCAATGTTTGATTACTAATCTTGTTTGAATCTAGACTATAGCCCTCAGTTTATTATGATCATGAGTTATATCTCTATTTACATGAACATTTTTCTTTCTGTTTCTCACACTAGCCTGTAGTTATTTTATTCCATGAATTATTAGTAGCTGTATTGTGAAATATTGAAATGAGGGCTAAAAAGAATCTTTTATATGTTAATGAAAATAACCACGTATTATTGCATTCTCCTTTTGTGAGCTGTCTTTGAGTATTACATTAAGTAATCAGAGTATTGCTGTGTTTATCAGAGTGTCTCAAGAGATAAAAGAAACCTTTGAGGAAATCTATTGTAAAGCTTTGAAAAGGGCATGGGCTAGCATTGGTGAGCTTTTTGTGATTTGGGTTCTCCAAATTACAGGGTGCCAGTTAGGTAGCAGAGTATTAGGCCTCTATCTCATGATGTTGCTTTTCATGAGCACTGCTTGATTTATGGGCTAGAAGAGTTTAATGGGCAGTTATTCCGTATTTGGAAATAATTAAACATGATCTTAGTCAATATAAGGCAGTGGAAAGAGCCCTGGACTAGAACGCAGTATATCCATGCCCTTTCTAGCAATCTGTTCTGTCATTCTCAGTATTAAGTTGCTACTTTTGGATTATTGGGTTTCTAGTGTTTTCACTTCACAAACAATAAATACTTTCAACAAGCTATTTTCTTCCTTTAGCATTTTCCTCTTACTACGCCTCCCCTCTTCTCTCCTGTCTCTTCCACCTCTTTCTCTCGAATCCCCTACTTCATCTTTTCCTCTTCCACCACCGTCTCTTCTTTATATATGAGAGAACACTTACAAAACATACTGTTAAAGTAAGCCTGTGTAGAGAAAAAATAATGGCAAGAAATAGTCCCCAAATCACAATAGTACTAGTCTTTTAATGGGTGAGAAAGATAAACAGATGAGTAGAATATTTTCCAAATTTTTGTATATAATATATAATCAGATATATATTATCAAGCACACATATAAAATATAAATTGCATCTATGTAAATTACATATATATAATGGAAAAATTTAATAGTTTAATAAACAGCTTTTCTGCCAACACCTATGGTGGTTTTGAGTCTAATATATCAACTCTAATTCTTTCTGACAAAGGTAATAATTGTAACATCTTAAAGAAGTTATGGTTACCCCAAAATCATTTCATGATTCAGTTATACAAAGATACTCAGAACTCTAAATAAATGAAATGTGGTGAAATGCTGAATCTGATTATTTCAAGTAATGTAAGGAATTTTATAAGCGTATTAATTGATTATTGGCTAACTCATTTAATGCCAGTGCTCAGAGTTGTTAACTTTGCGTTGCAGAGAACTCTAAGTTCGTAGTGGGAGACTGTACATCTCATTTGAGCTAGCCATCTTGTAAATGAGTGATGGTGATTATTTCAAGGGATCCCCGATAAATAAGTTTGAATGGCTGAATGTACCACTTCACCACAATAGTAAAAATGTTCAAAGAGCATGTCTTAGCCTTAATAAATCAATAATGTCTTCCAAACATCTCAAACCTAGTCTTCACAAAATCATTTTCCTTGTGTAAGCCAGGGAAAGTACATATATAGCAGGCACAAATTCTGTGTTCTTTATTGCTCTCACCCCCTTTATGGGAAATATTGACATAAAACTAAGAATGTTTTTGTTTTTGATGTAATCAGTAAATCTTTGCTTTCTATATTGTTGAAGGGGTCAGTGCTTTGATTGAAATACCTAAGAACTGTGTTGTAGCAGCAATTGGCAAAGAACTGAGTGAGTATGATTTTTTTAAATTTTGAACTAGACTTGTATGATTATAAACTAGACTAATTAGTTTTTTATTTAAGGGTCATCTGCCCCTACCCCAGTCTCGGCCTCCTGGGATTGTTGAAATAATATGGAGACTGAGATATTTTCAAGATGTTAGTTAGGTCAGTTTTTTTTCTACACTTGGTTTAACATAAGCCAAGAGGGCAAGCTGTTGAGTGCTGTATAGGTGGCCACCCCACTCCTCTGGTGCCAAAACCTATTGCTGTTGAGTTGATTCTGACTCATAACGACCCTATAGGACAGAGTAGACCTGCCCCATAGGATTTCCAAGGAGCAGCCGGTGGATTCGAACTGCCGACCTTTTGGTTAGCAGTTGAACTTTTAAAACACTGCACTGCCAGGGCTCCAGAGGGGGCCATTTATACCCCACAGTCCTCTCCCTTGCTGATCCATAATCATACACCTATCAAAAATTTTAACTACATGAAATAACAGTCAACATTCTGGAAACTAAAAACTTGGAGTTGGAGGAGTATTATTTGGGGAATTCACTAAAGCAGGAACTGGGGAGTTTTTGCCCCAGGAAGCCAGAATGGGACCCATTTTCTTGGGAAGGTTTGTGTCATTGCCCTCAGAGGAGTGGTATAGCAAAGCCCTGGAGGAAGCCATTTGTGCTCACTGACTTATGAATGGAATTTGGATATTGAGAAACGATAAACTAAGCATGCTTTTTATAAGCTACTTTCTCTTGAAGAATTTTCTAATGTAGCTCAGAGGGCATTCAGTATTGCTTGTGCTGCTGCTTCTAGAGACCTACCCTGAGATTCGCTCTGACAATCACTTGGCAAATTTGCAAATGCCTGTGGGACATGAGATAGTTGTTCGCCTTTTGCTAACTGCGATCTGTAGGCTGCAGTGATTTGCAATCAAATTTCTCTTTCTTCAAATTACACCTTTCCGTGTGGAATCATGTCTGAGAAGTTAATTTTCTAGGTCCTGTGCTTTATCTTTTCATAAAGTAGTTTCTGAAGATATACTTTTGTGTTCAGTTTTTGTCTTTTTCTTTCATTGAAGCAATTCTGTTTTCTTGTGTTCTCCACTGCAGCTGGGAAGAAACCTACCTTTCCTCTTCCTTCCTTCTCTTCCAACTCAATTACTTTGTGTTTTGCTGATTTTTCTTTAACTTAGTGGTTCTCAAACTTCAGTGTGCATTAGAATCACCTGAAGGGCTTGTTAAAATACAGATTACTGGGCCCAGCCCCCAGAGTTTCCAATTTAGTAGGTCTGCAGTGAGGTCGAGCGTCTGCCTTTCTAATAAATTGCCAGGTTATGCTAAGGTTGCTGGTCCAGGGAAAACACTTTTGAGGACTACTGCTCTGAGTATTTTGGTCCCCTCCTTTGTGTCCTGCTAGTATTGTTGCTCTGTTCAGATTCTCATTCTCTACTGCCTGGTTGGCTACAATAGCCTCCTAACTTGTCTCCTTTCTCCTGGTTTAGTGTTTCTCAAATGTATTCTCCAGTAGATGCTAGAAGAATGTATCTAAAATGCAGGCTACTCCCTTCTTAAAAGATTCAGTGGCTTCTTATTGCCTATAGCAGTCATTCCTAGACTCTCAAATTTCTGATCAGTACAAAGTTAAACAACTTCTAGAGATAAGCGTAGCGTTGCCAGATTTTTATTTTTGCCAAGTAAAAACATTTTATAAAACAAACTACCATCTATTATCACCCTCATTTTGTAAAAACGACGTTTTTAACAACAAAAAAGTATGAAGAACATAATTTCAAAACAAATAATAGGAGTTTAAATTGAATACATTTAGTTTTACAAAACCTATATGTAGCTTATTTTTTCCTCATTTTTGCCCAAGATGAATGAAAACTTTGCTCTAGAAGACCGATGTAAGGTCACCAGTGGCCTAAAAATAAAGTACTGACTTTGTAACATTTCAAATAAGGGCCTCTGCTATATACCTTCTGTTTTTTGAGTCGCATATTGCTTGTTTCCTCAACATTGACTTGCTTGAGACTATCCCACCTGAGGTTATTTCTAACCTCAGTGCTTTCATTTATGCTGTCCGCCTGTATCTGGGGTGTCCTACTCATTGTCCTCTTGACCTGACTAATTCCTACTTACCCTTTAGGACTTTAGCTCAGTTATCTATTTTTTCCCTAGTACTCTGCACATATCATTACACTTACTGCTTTAAACTAATGGTTGCTTTTTGTTCCCCCACTGGCTCCTTTTAAGAATGTGAGCTCCTTAAGAGACTGGGAATTTCTTATTCATCTCTATGCTACTAGATAACATATGTTTATTGAATGAATAAATTAATGAATTCATTGAAATGTAATAAAAGGTCAGTGCTTCAACGGAAGTTATACTACCATCTTATAAAAAATAATAAATGAAAGTTGGTTTTATTCAGAAAATAATTTATGAAGAATTCATAGCATTCTTAAAAATGAGGTTCTGCATTTTACTGAGTTTTATTATAAAGATATAATGCCATTTTTCCTTATATAAAAATAAATTTTGCTCCTATAAATGGAGTCTTTTCTATTTGAAAGACCAAACTTCTGCCTATGACCCCTGGTTTTAAATGTTTCATGACAATTTCTCTTTTTCTGTGTGAAGATTCCTTTCAACGGGAAATACAGTTTCTTTGTGCAGTAGCTGCAGTGACTTTGAGACTTTACTAGCTAAGCAAGGCTGTCAGCTCTGAGCCTTCATCCTGGTTCAGAAGGCCAGGATTTTTTTTCTTAACTCTTTCTTAGAATTGACTATTGCTCCTCTTTTGCCCTCTGTGATGACTCGTTTTTGTTTCGTTTCCTTGAAGTTATTACATAAGTGACTTTGTGAATACTCATCTATAGAGACCATGTTTTTGGACTCACTGAACAGTTTTACATTATCTTTAGTACTTTATTGTTTTCTTTTTCCTCAGTATTTCAGGTTATTATCTCTGTTGGTTTGATTAAATAATATATTGCTTGTTATTCCAAAATCCCTATCTCAAAATCATTTGGTAGTATTCCAACTAAAGTAGAATTTTTACACAACCTTAAATAGATATCAGGAAGTGTTCTCCTTTGTATTGACTAAAAGACCTTTTGACGGTCACAGTTTGAACATGAATGGTTGTCAGAATTAAATAACCTTGCTAGAGATTTGTCAGTTGTTAAAGTATTGTCCAGATCTATAGAAATAAATACAGCATGACCTTCCTTCCAGAGAAGAATGTGAGAAAGAAGAGATACTCTAGCAAACAGCCAACACTTGGAAAAGATATGACCTCTGAGACCTTTCCGATCTCACAGATGGTAGTCATCCTGATCTTTGTGCATCCACAGCACTTTATTCAGTGGCTTATTATAGCACTTAATACATTGATTATAAGCCAAGCAAGTCTCACTCCTACAGTGGACTGTGAACATAGACTGGGCCTTATTCACATTTTGTATCTTAAGTTCCTAGAAGATAGTAGATGTTTAGTAATGATTGTTGATTCACTTCAGTTGATTTGAGTTTTCTGTATTAAAGTTAGGATTTATACTAATTTAAATAAAACTGCATTTGTTAAAGTCAGATAATGAGACAGGCAATACATTGAACATCTGTTATATTTAATAAAAACTTTATGGCACAAAAAATTATAAGGCATATTCTCTCAGAGAGTTTATAAGTTAATGACATATGCCTAGGTATCAGAAAAAGATTTTAAAAAAAAGGTGCTGAAGTCTCTTCACTCAGTTGGTGTTAAACATGAATTTGTAGCTTATTTTGTAGCCGTGCTTACTGGCCTGGGAACATGAATCCTGCTCATTGTTCTGGGAATGGGAACATGAGTGAGAAAGCTGACAGTGATGGTTCAGGGATGTGAACCAGTCACTGGCTAGGGAGGGTGTGAGTAGGATAGCTGGACTTGGATTGAAGTCCCTAGAGAGGATGGGACTTCAATGGTTGGTAGTGGGTTTGGAGGCATCAATAAAGGAAGAAAGTTCTATGGGTACCCTTTGGGTTCTAGTGGATTATTACAAGCATCTTAAGCATTTGATGGAAGTATTTTCAAGTAGTATGAATAAGGCTCTTTTTGGAGATGGGTTTTTCAATATTGTAGGTATTTCTCACTTAGTGAAATGCTTGCTTTTGAGCAGAAACAGTATTTTATCTTCTTTGAATTTTTAGTAAAATTATATCTGTCTTTTCATTTAGTAATTTTCAGGGTGGTAGCACCCACAGAAGAATCACTAGAATGGGATATTCTTGAAGTTAAACGCCTCCTTGATCACCAAGATAATATTCTCTCATTGGTCAATGTCAATGGTAAGTTCATTGTGTACATGTTTATATTTTGCAAAATTTTACACTTGTTAATATGACCTATTCTGAACTTGTTTTGCACCAGGATTCTAGAATTACTGCTATTAAAATAATGCCTTAGATTAGTAGGATTTGACAATCTCTTTTAACTCTGAGGTTTAAGCCAGTGGAGCTGAGCAAGTTTGATAGATACCTTTGGTAGATCTAAGATTTAGGCATAAGGAGAAGAATTGAGTAGGGCAGAGAAAAGAGAAGATAGAGGAAAGCTTAATTATCTTAGTACTTGGTAGCTGTGGGATGACTGTTGTGGGCTGTAAATACTAATGTCTGGTAACATATCACTCTTTTTTGGAAAAATGGTTCTGGCTAGTTCCTGTTTTGTAGAAATTAGAAATAATTATGCCCTTTTGTCTTATCTGCCACATAATATAATACTCACATAGCAAGTGTCTTAGTCATCTAGTGTATCTCTAAGAGAAATATCACGAGTAGATGGCATTAACAAAGAGAAATTTATTTTCTCACAGGCTAGTAGGCTAGAAGCCCAAATTCAGGGTGTCAGCTCCAGGGGAAGGCTTTCTCTCTCTCTCGGCTCTGGAGTAAGATCCTCGTTGTCATCAGTCTTCCCCTGGACTAGGAGCTTCTCTGTGCAGGAACCTTGGGTCCAAAGGACGTGCTTTGCTCCTGGTGTTTCTTTCTTGGTGGTATGAGGTCCCCAATTCTCTGCTTGCTTCCCTTTCCTTTTATCTCTTGTAAAATGTGGTGCGGGCACACCCTAGGGAAACTCCCTTTACATTGGATCAGGGATGTGACCTGGGTAAGGGTGGTGTTACAATCCCACCCTAATCCTCTTTAACATAAAATTACAATCATAAAATGGAGGCCAACCACACAATTCTGGGAATCATGGCCCAGCCAAATTGATAAACGCATTTTTTAGGGGACATAATTCAAACCATGACAGCAAGTTATACACTTAGAGTAGAACGAGCAGGATTCAAGCTCGTTGTAATCATGATTGAATACTCTCAGAGAATAGCACTAAACTAAAGGTCTGCAGAACATGGGTCGTATCTGCCCTTCCTCATAGTTGTTGATTTCTACTTGTCAGGCATCCTGTTTAGCTTCATAAATGATTTTAATCAGTATCTCCTATGAGCTAAATCTCACATCATATGGCACTATAAGATCACAAACCACAAAAACCTGGGATTTAGGCCGTTCACTTAAAAATAACTGACAGCTTATATGTCAGAACTCTGCTAGATGATTTGTATATGGAGGTCAGATTAGAGGGTGCTTTGATGGCTTCAATTTGATAGTCTGGAGGAGACTGTAAGAAGGGTTCTTTAAAAAAGCTGTGAATATGATTGTTACTGCAATAACGCGGATTGGAGCTGCCTGCTGCAATAGCCAATTCTGAGATGGGTGAAGTGAACAGCAAGAGGTTTATTATATATCAATATATAGGAGACAGAGGGGAATAGATTCCTCAAAAAAAAAACCCATCTCCCCCACTGGAGATCGGCTGAAGGCTTTTATAGGGACAGGATTATGGGTCTTAGAAGTTTGTGTTAGCTCCCCCTTGAGGTGGTCATGTCTCAGATGAGTTAATCTTATACTGGTATTCTTGGAGGTTATCTGGTGACATTCTTGGGGATTATCTGGCGACATCCTGGTTTTTCTTGTCACAAGATGGGTGCTTTGTTTGGTTTTCATCCTTAGATCATTATCACTTGTTTTCCACCCTCCAAGGAGGAACTTTGGTTAATCCTAAACCTTCTGTAGAGACCGGAGAAACAAGATCATGAGACAATGTGGCAGTTAGCAATGGGGAGTAAATAATAGTAAGCCGGGCCTATGCAGCTTTTTCCAATCCCCCCCTTTTTTGGAAGTTTCTCAATCTTGGGAAACAGGGGGTCGCTTCTTTTCTGGCTACTTCCTGCTGGTTAGGGGCGTCAGGTAGGGTGAGAAACCTCCCGATATCGACTAGGGGCCATAAGCGGGGGGTGAGTTAGAGTAGAAATTGGCTGCATCTTGGTGAATTAGATGATGTGCATCCCCAGGGCCTGGAAAAGGGGCATCCCGACTTACCAGGGTAAAAATTTCTCCCGCCTTAAGGGTATTTGCAGTTCTTCCTGTCAATATTTTCATAAAACAGGGAACACAAAAACAAAGTAGAATAATCACTGTTCCTAAGATTATTAAGGGGGCTAACCAAGATCCTAAGGAAGGAAAAATGCTAGAGAACCAGCTCCATGCATCTTCTTGTCTCAACTTCGGGTCTGTCCATCTAGTTATCTTTTGAATGGCGTCTAACCCTATTTCAACTTCTCCTGTAGTATTTATCCAGGCACAAGAGGTTTTATTTATTATAGTACATACCCTTCCTGACTTTGCCAATAAGAAGTCCAAGGCAATTCTGTTGTCAAGGACCACTTCAACCAGGGAGTTCAAAGAGGTTTGTTGAGCTTCGAGTGCTCTCTCTGTCCCAGGAGCTAATAGGTGAAGAGTATCCAATAAATTTCTGATAGCCATTTCCATGTGGTATACTCCCAATCCTGGGATAATTGTTCTTAGGAACCACTACCCAAACCCAGTCTTTTCTAGGACGGTGTTGCTGTTTATCCCTGTCACCTCCAGGGAGACAGGATCTGCGGAGAAGATATCCTGTCTCTTCCAAGCGACCTTTACAATCATCTAAGTGGGTGGTGGATGAATCTGAGTGGGGAAAGTTAGAAACCCCAAAGTGCATTGTCCCACATAGTGAATTCCAGTCAGACAGTGGATAGCCCACATATAGCGTGATGCCTTTGGAATGGGGCTCTCACTAGTGGGGTGTGCTTTTCCCCTGCACAGGAAGGTGTACCCTGATGGGGCATACAAGGAGCAATTTCCATTAGAGCTGTCTGGGATGCCAGTGTTAATATGGGACAATTGGGGAACAACTAGAGATTGATTACATGATGATTGAAAATCTTAGAGAACTTGTTGGGCTACCTTCGTCCAGGGATCTTGTGATTTAATTTCCCATCTGTGCCTTGAAGTATGGTTATAGAGCTTGGTGAGGGAGAAACAGGGTATAGAAGATGGGTATTGGGATGATACTACACATGGGAGGGTTGAAGTGTCTCCAACCAGTAGGGTTAGAGCTCCCCTGGCTTGTAGGACTACCAAAATATTTCGCATCCACACTTCCTGGAGAAGTAAAAAGAAACCAAAGAACAGGGTTAGGATCATTATTCTGTAAGTTTTTTGAGCTTGTATTTCAGATCTCGAATTGGAGTGCAGGAATATGATGGTTCTTCAATTCTTCCTCCTTCGGGTGGAGCTGCCTTCACCCTTGAATGATGTACCCACGCAGCCACTCCTGCTAATTTCAGAGATGAGTGGGTGGTCAGGAGAACTTCAAAAGGTCCTTCCCATTTAGGGGCCCGTTGATCCTCTGGCTGTTGTTTCTTCCAGGTTTTCAACAGGACTCGATCTCCTGGGTGGAACCTATGAAGGGGAATGTCAGAAGGAAAAGACAAGCGGGAAGAAGCATATTGAATAACAGTGTTTATGACGGTTCCCAGAGAACGGACCCAGTCTCTTTCTCCACCTCAGTCATTATGGAGGTGGGGAAAGTCGACTTTTTCAGGAATGGTCTCCCATATATTATTTCATAAGGGCTTAACTTAAGCCCGCTTCAAGGGGCTACCTGGATTCTGAGCAGGGCAATGGGCAAAACTTGTATCCAAGTGGAGTTTGTCTCTTGGCAAAGTTTCACCAAGGTCTTTTTCAGAGTATGATTCATCTTTTCAGTTTTTCCAGTTGATTGTGGTCTCCAAGCTGAGTGTAGCTTCCAGTTTATATCTAAAGCCTTACTGACTTCTTGTGTAATTTTTGCCATAAACGCTCCCCCGTTATCACTGTAGATTGGTATTGGTAGACCGAAACGAGGTATGATTTCCTTGAGTAATGCTTTGGTCACTTCTTGGGCTTGTTCAGTCCGACAAGGAAAAGCCTCTACCCACCCCAAGTAAGTATCCATGAAGACCAGCAGGTACCTGAAATTCCCAGGTGCCTGGGGCATCACTGTGAAATCTACTTGCCAGTCTTCTCCCATGTTTGTTCCTCGGTATTGGACTCCCGGTTCCGTTGGGTGGGACGCAGTCTTCAGGTTGTTTCTTGCACATGGCATCTCTTTGTAACATCCCAGATGGTTTTTAGAAGGTTCAGCCCGGTGACTACCTGTTGGATCCATTCGAGACTGGCATCTCTCCCGTAGTGAGTCCCTTCATGTAAAGCTGATACTATACCGTATACTTGGGCCTCTGGTAACAGTACTTTCCCTTCAGAGTTCATCAGCCATTTAGAATGAGAGGTGAGGTAATAGCCCCATTCTTTAGCCCTATCCAGGTCCTGGGTGGTGTAGATGGGTGTGGGAAAGTCAACAGGATCTAGATGGGGGATCAAAGCCATTTCTGTTCCCATCCCATCTCCTTGCATTGCGGCCTTCTTTGCTTTTGTATCTGCTTTTCGGTTCCCTGTTGCCTCAGGAGATTGTCCCTTCTGATGTCTGGGACAGTATACTACTGTCATCTGAAGGGGGTCATTCACTGCCTTCAGGAGTTCTAGGATTTCTGGTACGTTTTATTTCTTTGTTGGCTGATGTCAAGAGTCCCCTCTCTTTCCACAAGGCACCGTGTGAGTGGAGGACCAGATGGGCATATTTACTATCAGTATACCCAGTTATGCATCTTCCTGCTTCTAGTCACAGGGCTCGCCCAAGGGCTGTGAGTTCTGCCTTCTGAGCTGAAGTGCCGGCAGGAAGAGGAGCTGCTTCTAAGACCTCAGTTTGTGTTACCACTGCATATCCTGCCTTGCGACATCCTTCATAAAGAAAACTACTGCCATCCATATACAGTTCTATTTCTGGGTCAATCATAGGGACATCTGAGAGGTCTGGTCTGCTAGAATAAACTTCTTCAGTTGTTTCCAAGCAATCACGTATAGGAGCA